TGTTTTAAGAGTGGCGTACCATCAGAACACAAGCTGGACTACTTGTTGTGTGGAGTTAGTGTGCATACTAAATGCTCTGTCAGATCTAAAGTCTAAGGAAGGGCAGCTGGGAGGGTATTTGAATAAAAGAAATTAATCAGTGATTGTCTCCTTGGCAACTGTACTCCATCTAACAGTTCTGTTTACACACTGGCTATAATATAGTGGAGAAATAGTGTTAGTATAACTGATACACACCTAACACCTGATCAGTGTAGCAAAGGGAAAAAAAAAGTACATTGCGTATAATGAATAAAATAGTAGTGTTTATAACACAGCGCTGCTTTGTTTACTTGCCGCTGTTCCATAAGCGCCACCTGCGTTCTCATTCAGGCCATCTGCTGTTTTTGTATCGTTCAGATGTTTTATGTAGTATAGTTTCACGAAGCTAAAGTCAGACCATTCTGTTTTTGCTTCAAATTATGAAATTATACAATCTAATTTCAATCAAAAACTGCTCATGCTGCATGTACGCTGCATCTTTGTTTGGATCGTGATTAAAATGCATTGGTTGTCTCTAATTTTAAATGGAAAGAGCACAGAAGATATTTCATTTATATGTGTTATTTATTCATGTGATTTGGGGCTTGTTTTAAATGTTCAATTTCACAGAAATTTGCAGCATTTTGTCTGAGAAATAATAAAAGGGCACCTTTTCATTTATAATTTGTCTTAAATCTCATTTTGTTAAAAGAATTGTGAGAAAATCCTATCGTTAAGTCAGTATCGTGAATCGTATCGCATTGTGAGTTGAATGAAGTGTTACATCCCGCATACATATAATCAATTTTTTTTTAAATAAATTAATACAAGAAATTGTATTTCAAATAAATGCTGTCCTTTGAACTTTCTATTCAAATAAACCTGAAAAGAGTATCACAATTCACAGAGAAATATGAAGCAGCACAACTGATTTCAGTATTGATAATAATCAGGATTGTTTCTTGAACAGTAAATCAGCATATTAGAATGATTTCTGAAGGATCATGTGACACTGAAGACTGGAGTAATGATGCTGAAAATTCTGCTTTGCATCACAGAAATAAATAACATTTTAAAAGATATTCAAATGAAAAACAGTTATTTGAAATGGTAATAATATTTCACAATATTACTGTTTTTTTAGTGTAGGCTTGATCAAATAAATGCAGCCCTGGTGAGCAGAAGAGCCTTTTTTCAAATATATAAAAAATCTTAGACCCCAAACCTCTGATTGGTAGTGTGTATACATTATAATACTTACAATAATGTATTATATATTATAAGAAACAAACAAAACAGAAACTAATAAACAGCAATATTTGCCTACATGTATATTTTTATTAAAACATTTTTTGTTATTAATTTTTATTAAATGCTAGACAGAAATGTTTGCATCTGAGTGATGATGCAAACAATTCCTGAACTGTTAAGTTCAGAACGGATTCATTGTAATGGAATGTTTGAAACTGATCCTGATCTGACCAAGTTCAGGTTATATAGTTTCCATCAAGTCTTCTTTAGAGTTTTAAAGGTATAGTTCACCCAAAAATGAAAATTCTGTCATTTATTACTCACCCTCATGTCGTTACAAATCTGTAAGATGATTCGTTGCTGTCTATGGTCCTGCATAGACAGCAACGCAACTGAAAAGATCAAGGCCCAGAAAGGTAGTAAGAACATTGTTAAAATAGTCCATGTGACATCAGTGGTTCAATCGTAATGTTATGAAGCTACTTTTGGTGTCACATAAACTATTTTATCAACGTCCTTACTACGTTTCTGGGCCTTGAATAATATTGCTGTCTATGCAGGGTCAGAGAGCTCTCGGATTTCAATAAAAATATCTTCATTTGTTTTCCGAAGATGAACGAAGGTCTTACAGGTTTGGAACGACATGAGGCTGAGTAATTAATGACGGAATTTTCATTTTTGGGTGAACTATCCCTTTAAAAATGCTTTTCAAACTGGTTCAACTGAATCTGCTCAAAAGAATGATTCCTTTACGAATCATCACGAGTCTTTTCACATGCATAACTCTGTCTTCTCTGCATAAAGCTTCCTGTACCCATCGCCATATTAATCCTGATGTATCGGGAGCAGCTGTTCACATGCGGATCAGACCCCAGTCAGCGTTTACTAGATGGAGACGTGCTAGCGATGAAAACCTGGGGAACCATGAGTCTGTCAGAAGACATTGGACATCAGAAAGAGACTTCCAAAAGTAAGATCCCAACCCGCCAGCACTTCTGCACCACTGACATTGATGAAATAATTACCATGTGGGATCAGACCACGTTCGCAGTTAGTGTCAGAAATAACATGCCGTCAGATGCGCATAAAAGCCAGAAAGGAGGTTTCTGTAATCTTCCCGCTCTTGTGTCTCCTCAGGCCACGTAGACTTGTTCGGCTGCTGTCTCCTTGGCAACGCGCACAGCTTTCCGTTGTCTTTCTTTGGGATCCATATCCTCGGGGGTCTGGTGCTCTTCTTTTCTGACGGTATAGTGGTAAGCAGGATTAGCACTTCACAGCCGCTTCAGCTCTGTAATTGAAGAGTATTTGCTTAATTACTTGAACTCATGTATTATTTAATCTCACGCACCTCAGGGCTCATACACAGGCTTTGTGTACACCTACGCAGTGGCGCCCCCTATGAATCTACCTCACAAGACCGCCGGATACTTGACGTGCGTCTTCTGGGCGGCGATCACTGTCGGCCGACTGTCTGCCATTCCTCTGTCTTACCGATTTAAATCTGTACGCTTGCTCATCGTTAGTCAGGTCAGTATCTTTGGTTTGCTTTTGAAGCCAGTTTTGTGGAAATTATTCCAAAAAAAAGTTGTTGCTGACTCTTAAGTGTACAAGGTAACCAGAGAGTATGCAAACATTTTGTTTTCGCAAAAATACAGTAAAAACAATAATATTGTGATCTATTATTGCAGTTTTAAAGAACGATTTTCTATTTGAATGGATTTTAAAATGTAATTTATTCCTGTGATGCAAAGCTGAATTTTCAGCATCGTTACTCCAGGCTTCAGTGTCACATTATCCTTCAGAAATCATTCTAATATGCTGATTTGCCACTCAGCTATTATCAATTATTATTGGTGCCGAGTGTGCTTGGTGCTTATTATTATCAAACAGTTGTTTCTGCTCAATGCTTTTTTTTGTGGAAACCATGATACCTTTTTAAAGTGAAAGTGACGTGACATGTGGCCAAGTATGGTGACCCATACTAGGAATTAGTGCTCTGCATTTATCCATCCAAAGTGCACACACACAGCAGTGAACACACACACCGTGAACACACACCCGGAGCAGTGGGCAGCCATTTTTGCTGTGGCGCCCGGGGAGCAGTTGGGGGTTCAGTGCCTTGCTCAAGGGCACCTCAGTCATGGTATTGAAGGTGGGAGAGAGCGCTGTACATTCACTCCCCCCACCTACAATCCCTGCCGGTATGAGACTCGAACTCGCAACCTTTGGGTTACGAGTCTGACTCTCCAAGTAATTTATTACGGGTTACCATACTTGGCCACATGTCACATCACTTTCACAACTTTTTTCAGGATTTTCAGAATTCTACATTTCTTTACTGTCTTTTATGATCATTTTAATGGGCCTTGGTCATGGTCTTGGCTGAATAGAAGTATTAATATATATATTTTTAAATCACACTCCAAAGTATATCATGATTTCTACCAAAAATATTAAGCAGAAGAAAACCGTCTTCAACATGCTTCTGAAAATTGAACTTTGCCATCATTGGGAGAATTTACATTTTAAAATATTATTCAAAATTTTTAACTGGTAGAATATAATATATAATATAACTAACTAGGTATTAGTAACTAAAGAATTCACAGTTATGGAGGAATAAAACCTGCTAGTTATATTTTATAGTTAGTATATATATATATATATATATATATATATATTTATTTTTTTTTTTCAAATTTACAAATGTCTTTATTTTCTTCTTTAAAAAAGCTAAAATTAGTGTTTTAGGATTTAGTATGAGATTTGTCTACACTTTTTGTGCCTATATTGTCAAAAAAAATTTTTTGTCTACAAGTGGGTTTGTATATAATAATATATAATATACAGTAATATATAATATAATATAATATTTTTATTTACTTCTTTAAAATAAAGTTTTGTTTTATGTTTAGGATTTAGTATAAGATGTGTCTACCCTTTTTGTAATTTTTTTTATTTACTTATTTGGGTAGTTAGTTTACATAAAGTGGGTTTGCTGGTCTCCCAACCTGTTCAGACTGTTTTTTAGAGGGTTTTGGGCCACTTTTTGGCTGGTCATGTAAGTGTGAAAATACTTTAAACAGAAATAAACAAATATGTTCATAATAAATGAAGAAAAATATTTAATTTTAATGTGATAACAAATGTTATGTATTTTTATGTATATATTTATTTTTTCTTTATGTATTATTTTACATGTTATTTATTTATTGCAGTTGTGATCATCAATGTTTTCATAGTTTACATGCATACAATAATGGTCCTGTTTTCAAAAACGTGCCCTTTGAAACCAATTTTGCATTTTCAAGCCGTCAAAACGCTGTTGTTGTGTAAACGTACGGCCAAAACTCGTACAAAGTTTTCCCTTTTTAGTTCTAAACACCCTCTAAACAACAACAACCCAAGTGGGGGCGGAGCTTAGAAAAGCATCATTTGTCAGTCCATTACAAACTCTCTCCTGACAGACTGCTGTTGAGTCAGACGGACTATAAAAGAGGTTTACACTATCAAAAAAGGTGTGGCACCCACGATGCACCAAGAGAAACTTTGGACAGGAACAAACATCCTTGTTCTGCATCCTGCTCTGCCCTGTCCATTCGTCAGACGGGACATTTGTTTATCTGGTGTGACTAAGGCTCCTTTCTATTTTCACGCTTTTATTTGCGCCAAACGTTTATGACAGCGGGCCTCTTAATTTCCGTTCCTCGCGCAGATAAAGCAGGTGTTGTTCACCTCAAATAACAAAGCCTTTGTTGACGGTGCGTGTCCAAATGCAAATCCTCTCCATTCTGTTCTCTCGTAGGTGGGTGTGATAGTCACACTACTTCTGCTGCTGATCTTCTCCAACAGCAGTGTGTTCCTCTTCATCGGCACCTGCTGTCTCGGCCTATTTATAAGCAGTATCTTCCCCTGCACGCTCGCATTCACCGAAGACGTCCTGGAGTACAAAGGTATTGTGACAGATGGACCGCCGCTGTCTCCGGCATTGTTAAATCGCCTTTTTGTCCACGGCTTTCATTGATTTGACAGCAGCTATTGGTGGTTTCAAAGTTCAGTATTTATTCAAGGTTTACTGCTGAGCCGAAGGCAACAGGAGCCCCCCCCCATTTAATTCTTCCCGCCATTGGCCTTCGTCTTTCTGGTAAGGTTTGGCCCGAGTCCGACAGGCCTTGTGTCTTAACGGCAGAGACAATCCTTTTTAACCCAGCGGTCAAACCCTTTGCGAGGAATTATTTCAAAATAAATGGCTAATTACCGAGTGCCCTCTGTATGCCGCAGATATGGCGGTTGTTAGGGTAGAGCGATTAAAAAAAATGTCATTATCATTAAAAATATCTCTATCATTAGAGCAGGTCTGGGCGGGAATTCAACAAACTGGTTTCAGCTGTAAAAGAACAGATATTTAAATGCATATGAATCCTGGACAATTTGAATAAAAATGAATGGGAGAAATCTCATCGCTGTTGCAAGGGAAGTCCTGACTAAAAGTGCCACTCAGTTTTTTGATCGAGACATCGACGGTGTGTTAAATGGACCTGCATTAAAATTGCAGTGCGAGTTAGTGTGGCGATTCATTTTTTATATGGCGATTATAGCAAAATAAACTTAAAATTGCAGTATGGCTTATTGCAATTGTCAAATAGCAAAGGTTGCTTTTTGTTTTAAAGTGAAATATTGTAATATTAGTATTTCTTCTTTTAGTTTTTTACTATTATTATTATTATTATTATTTTAGTCATTTTGAGGTATAATTACCAAGTCTTTGGCCAAACTGTGCATACCTACAAACAATAACTGCTTTGGGGAAAAAAGATTGCATTTGAAATCACAATTGCTATTTAATCATAAAAATCGCAATTGGATTTTTTTTTATCCCCCCAAATCTTGAAGCCCTAAGTTAGCGTTATTTAACTTAAGTTCAGATGTCATCAGATTTCAATGGCAGTTTGAATGTTGCTGCAACACAATTTTGAGAAACCATTTCAGTTTTTCTTTTTAATTGTATTTTTAAACTTACTGCCTAGATTTAAAGAAAAATAAAAATCTGAGTTGACTGTGTTTCGTTTCATCTTCAGGTTGTGCCACCACAGTCATGGTGACCAGCGCAGGGATGGGTGAGATGTTACTCCAGGTGCTCGTGGGTTCGGCAAGTCTGACTTAAATATTTACATCTTGGCTTCTGGGGATTGAACCCATGACCTTTGCATTGCTAGTGCTGTCATGGTCTACCAATTGAGCTATTCTTGTAACTGTTGATTAGTCTCTTTCCTCCCTCAGGTGATGCACAGTCAAGGTAGCTTCAGTTTCCTGTTGTGCGGAATGATCTTCGGCTGCCTGGGATTCGCTTTCTTCGTCCTGCTGTTCTTCGTCCAGCAAAGTCACAAAAACTTCACAGAAGGTGCGTTGAGTCTCTGAATTCACGTCGTTGCCCATAATCGGGATCAAACTGAAAATTTACTTTTTCTAATGTCTTTGGTAGATGCTTTTATTCAAAGTAACTTGCATTGAGTTCACAGTATATATTTGTGTGTTAATCGGGAATCAAACCTATGACCCTTCCCATTGCTAAAGCCATACTCTTCTACACAGTTGAATAAAAGTAGTCTTGTCCTGTTAGCTTAAACTGTTTGGCTTATGAAATAACGCTTATCATCATGCATTTGCAAAATGCAAAGGTCACTTTATAACACGTTTTTTTTCATACAGCTTTCCCTAGTAACTCCCCTACCGAAAGACTTGAGGAAAATGGGATCAAGACCTGTTCTGCTGCCGTGCTGAACTCATGGGACACGTCAGAGCAGAAAGCATCCATCGATCCGTAACAATGGATGGAAAATATGACAGGAGCAAAGGGACAATGGTGTCGTTGACTCAGGGACATCAAGGACCAAACATATCCTTGGATGATCATGCATCGACAGAGCTAAGAAAAATGCAAATGATTTAAAGGTTTATTTTTGTATTAAAATATTTTTGATCAATGAAATGATCTTGTGCACAAATGTCACAATTGAATAATTGTCAGCAATGCAGCAATGTCACTGGATATGTGCAATACAATAACTTACCTAGAGAAAAGTTGGTTTATAGTGTTTATTGTTAGAAACACACTGACCAATCAGCACTTGAATATCAGTGGTTTCATTGGATCAAAATAATGAAATACAGTATTTTTTGAATATGTAAAACCCTACAATGCTTTCTTTGAAAGCAATTCTGAGTTGGACTGGGCTCACTCAAACCCTACTGACAATCAGTCTTATTCACCGATCAGAAAAAGATCACAGATCGGCCAAAGCCGAAGTGCTCATAACACAATTGTGGTTAGGAGTTTAAAAGGTCAAAAAAGAACATCCTACCGTCTTCCTGGAAAAGTTTCCTTGTATTGTGTTGTATGGCCTCAGGTCTGACGGTTCCTCTAAACCAGTGACCTCGGCACTCAGGTGGGCGATCCTGATTGTAGGAGGTTGCTGTGTCAGCGTATTTCTCTTGGCCTGGGTAAAATTGTATTTGTTTTTTCTGGTTTACGCAGGTGTCAGACCTGCTAACGTTAACACAATCGCTGCATAAATGAGGTCAGCTTTCTGCAGCTGTATTTGATGAAGACACACAAACCAAATGAGTTACACATTTGTTTTTTATAGAAATCTTCCTTCCCTTCCAGCATCCACAGATTAGTACAACAGGTATGCCAATGAACATAGAATTTGTAAACATTTGAGAGACAATCTGAAAATATGAAAAAAAAATAATTTTCAAAATTTTATGCACAAAAATATTGAAAACATTTGGTGCCAATATTGTACCATGACAGTAGAATTTATCACACTTTTTATTATTACATCATCCCTTTTTTTCCCACAAAATACAAATTTGCTCACGAGAAACAAAATATTGTTCTAAATGCAATGCAGTTATGACGTCGACATTTAGAGGATGAGAAAATCTGATGTGTCTGAAACATTGGCACTTTCCAAGAATAGGGTACAAAATATTAACCTATTAACCTTAGAAGCATGTTTAAAATATCGAAGATATTATTATTGAAGTTATGATACATAAAGATAGTAAATTGTCTATTCTACATGGAGTTCTCATCAGAATTTGAGAAATGTTTGAATATGGGTTAAAAACTTGATTTGTCATTTTTGTTGTGGTGCTCTTGCGATAAATTTCAAATAAAATATACCATAATGGGTAACAGGGTTGCAAATAATAATTTTTCACTCAGCAGGGGATAGTTTGCCAAGTGTTGGTTTGTATGCAACGGCAAACATATTTCATATAAATTATAAAAAGAAATTGATATATACATATGTATATTGGAATGGTAAAGAATATAGTTAACACAATGTATACAAATTTACAAAATGGAATGAAGTGTTGGGGATGTGATAATCAGGTTGCAGGCAAATGTGGAATAGCTAAATAGTATTTAGGCAAAATATCTAATATAGATTAATTGAATATCAATTACTTTTCATATTATATAATATTTGAACATTCTTAATAGTTCTCTTTAAAGAAATAGTTCACCTAAAAATGAAAATTGTCACTAATTACTCACCCCCATGTCGTTCCAAACCCATAAGACCTTCGTTCATCTTCAGAACACAAATTAAGATATTTTTGATGAAATCCGAGAGCTTTCTGCCCCTGCATAGACAGCAACGCAACTACCACGTTCAAGGCCCAGAAAGGTAGTAAGGACAGCATTAAAATAGTCCAAGTGACATCAGTGGTTCAAGCGTAGTGTTATGAAGCAACGAGAAAACTTTGCACGCAAAAGAAAACAAAAATAACTTTATTTAACAATTTCTTCAAATTGTTCCGAAGATGAACGAAGGTCTTCCAGGTTTGGAACACCATGAGGGTGAGTAATTAATGACAGAATTTTCATTTTTGGGTGAACTATCACTTTAAGACTGTGATTTGCTTGGTCAAAAAAAAAAAGCCAGTTTATACCCTATTCGTAAAAAGTGCCATTTTTTCTAAAATAGAGCTTTTTGACTTTTTGGAGTAAGAATCTCTTTAAAGAGAAAATATTCTTATAGTAATCGATGAAGCAATCATAAAATAAATTTTATTTATGCCGGAAAGTCTTAATTAATTACAAAATCTCTGTGCAGCAAAAGTTTAAATGCATATTTTACAAATGTTGATTCAAAAACAAAATTGATGTTTGGGGTGGTGGAGCCACTAATAAGATGAGATTAGCTTGACAACAGATTCTAAAAAATACAAAGTGCCAGTAAAGAGAAAAAAATGAGGAGAGAGGGAAAAAGAGACTTTTTTTAAGTGCTTTAGACTCTCATTAAAATACAACAGATGTTCAGTATGGCTACAATGGCTAAATGTTCTTGGGAGAAAACCAAACTCAAACAGAAGAAACAAAAGACAGCTAAACATATAACAAACCCATTTTATCCATTACATTGAGAAATGAGAATTTTCATAGAAACAAAACAAATAACTATTTAATGAAGTAGAAGTAAAAATAAACTAAGCTGCATTCCCCCCCCAAACAACAACAAAAAAATCTAAGTGGGTAAGAGAGCATTTAACAAAAATAATGGAAACAGGTTAAAAAACAAAATCCATTATTCAAAAATGTAAAAGGCATTAAGCAACTCAATATCCCTCTATGAGAAGGCAATTGCATGTGCAGTGCTCACGTTACAGGCAAGAGCAATCAAACACAGCCTGAATTCTGCAGGAATGCAAATGAAGACGCTTCGCAATACAGGACCTCAGGAAAACAGGTCAAAGTGAAAATACTACAAAACAACAGCACAATGCTACAGACATCCCATCACATCTTACTGTATGTACAATGAAACATTTGAACTTATTTTCCTAAAGTAATATTTTAAAATCCACCTCATATGAATTTCTTTTTTCCGTGGAACACAAAAGAAGGTATTTTGCAGAATGTCCGAGCTGCTCTTTTTCCATACAATGAAAGTAGAAGATTTAGAGGTCCAAAAAGATACCAAAAGCACCATAAATTTAATGTATCATGTTATATGAAAAAGACTGAAATTTCAGTATGTTCTTTGCACATAACTGTATGGCTTCAGAAAAAAATTATTAAGCACAAATCATACATATAAATGAATTGTTTTTTTTGTATGGTCAGGACATTCTGCAGAACATCTCATTTTTATCATGCAGGTTTGGAACAACAGTAAAAATTGGAAAGAACACAAAACTACATAAATGGTAGCTGTTTGCACTCTTGTACTACAAGGGCAGCTATAAAATGGAATAAAATGTCCCTATGCTTGATTTAAGCATACAGGCTGAAAATATTAACCCGACAGTACTAGAAAGTATAAGTAAACCATCAATATTTCATATGATCCATTTTCCACTGGATCTGAATATAGATTCTAGCTCTTATTATCTATGTTCATGATATGTTAAAGGAATATTCCAGGTTAAATACAACTTAAGCTTGTATTTAATAACATTTACGTTACATCAATTTAGGTTTTAGGGCAAATAATTCCTTGAAATTGTGTCAAAGTTATTTGCTGTTCTCACAAATGCTGTCAAAAGTCATATTTTAACACAGAACAATCCTATAAATAGTTGAAGTTTTCGTTAGTAGCCGTTTTCACCAGCAAAGGACAAAACATAGCCTTTAGAAACAATTAGCAAAACTGTTGCCTATTTTCATTTTACTGGCAACAGACAACAGGACTAGAAGGCACCACATTAGCATGAGTGTGAAAAGAGCAGTTTCTTCTACTGCGATCAGTTTGTTATGTATGTTAGGTATTGACATGGAGCTTTGTGAACTGTGGGTAATCATACAATACCTGAGAGCTTAATTTGAGATGCTGAACAGTTATATATATATACATATTATATATATATATATATATATATATATATATATATATATATACACAAACACACATCCCTTTGTATTTTTATCAATGCACTTTAAGTGGTCCTACAGGGAAGGACTAACAGAGCTCAGTTTCTGCAATTTGAATGTCAGCATTTAAGCCTTGTTCCAGTTTTGCATCTAATGCATGTCAGTTATAAATCATGGCTTGTTGAGTTTAAGACTATTAGAGGTAGAATTTTATATTGTGCAACATATGGGCATTAATTTCCTATACTGGTTTATAATTGGAGATGTAAAACTGGCAAACGCTCTACAAAAACAACACACCGATACTGCATTGACATCAAATGAGGACTGCAAAGAGTGGCTGCAGTATTTGGTTCAGATAGCGATCTTTACTGCAGTTGTACAATATTCAATTCTCTTTCAGAATACAAACTCCACTGGACTTGTTTTGGGTATTCTATACAATGCCTGATCAGAAACACTACTTTACAATTAGTGGTAATGATTCTTTTAAATTAAACATTACATATGACACGCACTATTGTGTAAAAGTTAAGGGACTCCAAGTTGTTTTTTAATGTTTTTGAAGAAAGTCTCTTATGCTCACTAGTGCTCACATTTATTAGACTAAAATGAAAGCAAAAACAGTAAAATTGTGAAATATTACTACAATTTAAAATAACTTTTCTATTTCAATATATTGAATCTATTTTATTCCCGTGATGTAAAGCTGAATTTTCAGGATCATTACTCCAGTCTTCGGTGTCACACGATCCTTAAAAAAAAGGAAAATTCTAATATGTTAATAGAATATGCTAATAAGTATTTCTTATTATTATCAATGTTGAAAATAGTTATGCTAATTAATATTTTTGTGGAAAGTTATGATTTTAAGATTAAGAGTTAAGAATTTTTAAGATTATTTGACAACTAGAACATTCAAAAGAACAGATTTATTTGAAATAAACATTATAAATACCTTTACTGACCCTTTTGATCAATTTATTGCATCCTCCTTGAAAGTATTAATT